AAGACGGTCTGAAGGAGTTCAAAACCTCCAACCATCCCACGGTTATTGGTTAAGTGTTGGGAACAGAAGAGAATGAGAAATTTCTATTCTCAGAACGTTCCGGCATACAAACTTTAAGTCTGCGCCTACATTTCACACTGTATGCCTCCATCTAATCCTCTACACAGCAACAGCCGTGCAGTTTTCAACTCTGAGGAACGCCGGGTACAGCTTGATAGCACTGAATGCCTTCAACTACGAAACCGACTATGGATTTGGTCGATGAATATCTGGTTATCTACCTGTCTAATCAAGCCTCCTCATCTTGTTATCTGGATTTTTTTGGGGCGAAATCGAAATGAACTTTGCTATCGATCAGTGTCTGATTTAAGCTTCTGGACTCGTGCCGGTACAGTTGCTAGAAAAGACCTTCCAAGCATCTTTATAACTAGTGTGCTCTATATCTTGTGTTCTATTGAAAAAGCTCACGAAGAATGATTGGCATACCTTTACTAAAATGTGACATGTAATCTATCTACCATATTTAGTAGCGACCCAGTATGGCACGGTGGGTGATATGAAGTGATAGCAACTGATAATGGCAGGCAAGTAGCATCAGAACTTGACTGTGACTTCCTTAGACCTTTAGGGCGACGGACTTTTGGCTCGTCCGGGCTAGCACGCGGCGATCCGGACGCTTCGCGGGATTTCGACACGCCAAAACGTGTGAAGGTTTTGCGATTCGAGTTACATTTGAATGCCTGGAATTTTGGGGACAACGGTGACGGTAACAACAGGAAGAGATGAGGGAACTAGCATAGTGCTGTTATGGCGATCAGGGCGCTCATGTCGTTGGGGGACATTCCGTGGGGGGGGGGGAGGGAGGGAGTGAGCCAATTACTGTGTTTGGGTCGAGACTTAGGGAGGAGAAGGGATTCTGGGGGAAGTAATTTGTGTTCTCCCTGGCGTTCCTCCCTCTGCTGGGCTTAGTCCTAGTGTCACCTACCATCGACCCTGTTTTGTTGTTTTGTTTTGAATGTTCCTCCTTGGACGTGAGCGCCTCGATCAGCAAAACATATATAGTTGACAATAACTATCTCAACAAAAACTCCCAATTTTGATTCTTTTGGCTTTCATGGTACTACATTTACCGCAACCCACGTAAAGGAATTTAGAAGCATTTCAAACTCTATTACGAGATTTACCCATCTATCTTTACATTCCTAGCGCCTGCAAGCGAGTATCAGCTGGCAGCCCATATGGGCTGCCATCGTCCCAGGAGCACATGCTGTTGGCAGCCCATATGGGCGGCCAATCGGAGTGAATGTGTTAAAGAGCACACAACCGCTAA